TGATGTCTACCATGGTCCACCCAATGGGCAGTTTTGGCACTCCCTATAGTACCTGCAAAGCTGTTGAACCTGCAACATCTAACAAACCAGATGATTATAATAAACAGGCTAATATGGAGGTTCGGACCCAGAAATTCATACACTGAGGTAGAGTGGCAGATGCTTTAGTTCCAGCTTTTAGGTTGGTTCTTCGATGGATGGCTTGGCTTGGAGGGTCCTCTCTTCTTTCTAAGTGTAAGGCTCAAACTCTAGATTTCTACCAGAACACCTCTACCTTCACAGTGCCAACACCCATTCCGCCAAATCCTCACCATTCACCTCATCTAAATTCATCAAGGCATGCCATCAAGAGGGATCCTCAACCGTCAACACCTCATTCATCAGACTCTACAATTACATCCCACGGCATCAAATTAGAGACAGTTTGGCGGAACTCACTTTGGTCGGCCTCATAGATTTCTGCCACATTGAATATAATTCTTCATCATTGAGCCTCATCTTGATCTCCCCAGTTCTCACATATCAATCAGAGCCTTCCCCGTGGCCAAAGAAGGTCGTCCTAAGATATAGGAATTTCTTCATCCACTTGCAATCCAGAATACAAAAATCTGCAGGCGAACACGAATTTCGACCCACATTCTGTGAATAATTCACATCATACGAAGGGATCCCAAAATGGACGTTTCCACAATCCTGTCGGCCAGCCTCAACAACATAAGAGGTGGGTCTAGACTCTCCCAATGCCCAACCTCTATAAATAAAAACCAGGGGCATAAGATTAATGCTGGTCCCCTAAATCAAACAGAGTGCCTTAGCAAAGGCGGAAGTGTCCCAATAGTGCAAATGGAATTGTAAAGCTACCCTGGATCAGATAGCTTAACCCTTGCAGCAACAGTCTAGACACCCACTGCACTACAGGGTTCTGAGTAAGTGTCACCGTGGACAAGTTCTTTGAAGTCAAACTTCCGAGACATCAGTCCTTCATCTGTTTTAGCGTATCCAGCATCTCCTTTAAAGCTTCAATCAATGGAATGTATTAACCTGGATTTGTCTTTAGCATCTCCAAGACTTTTTTATACTGCCTCCTCCTTTTAGTATGCTTGGGCCAACCCTCTGTGGAAAATGGTCGCAGAGGTCTTTTTCCCAATTCACTTGGGATTTCTCTTTCTCAGCTACATATATTTCAAAACTACTGCCTCAGCTACTTTCTTCAGGTCTCCTGCTGCATATTCTCTTCTTCAGGTGTGAGGCTGACTGTCACCCATCTGTCAATCCCGTAGACTCATCCAGCTCAAATGGGCACTGGAATGAGTGTCTCAGCCTTTATGTTTTCTTGAGCTCTCTCTTTGCTCTACATCTGATCCCTGCCATTTACGGAGGCACTCACCGCACATCAAACTTGCTTTGGGCCC